CAAAGCGGTGCGCTTCTGAAAAGGTAAACGAGAACATGGGTCTTGCAATCCGAACATGCACTGATCGACAACGGCTCGGTGTACACTTGGTCTTTGAATCATACAATCTAACTTCAAGGCCATGCTGCGAAACGGTTGCTCCAACAACACAAGACGACCGGCACGATGTTGTTACTTCCAGACCACTGCACAAAATTCCCAAAAAGGCATATGCAACATTCGTTTGAAATGAACAACTTCTTGGGGATTGAGTGACTGTAGAGAAGACCAAGGGCCGCACGGCGGTTCAAGACACACGAGATCCGGTTCCCACTCATCAATCTGTTGCAAAATCCGCTTTCGTTCTTTGGGGTCCAGAACATCAGATCCATAGACTAAGTCGACAGGCTCCAAGGCACACCATTTCCCAGTGGAGCGGGCTATCAGCGACAATGCTGCACTGCCTCCAAAGATCTCTAATACACGCCAAGTATGATCTGTTGATTTGTGAGCAACAAAAGCCAAATGTTGTAAAACAGATGAACAACACTTTGCACCTCTCTTCAACACTTGAACTTGACTGCGCTTCCACGGCGTTGCTCTCCTCGGCTCTGAACCCCCGTTCGCTACTGCCTCACCCCTCACTTCAGCAGCGGCGGACCCCGAGGGCCGCTCAAGGTCTTCACAGCGCCGCCCAAATCCCCCCAAATGGCCGCCACCTCCTTGCTCATCATCATGGCCAGCCAGCGAGGATGGCGCTTCCAAAGGAGGCCGTAGGATTCCATGGCCACTCGGGAGCGCAGGAGCCACACCAGCTGCTTCCATTTGTGCACCACCAGCCGGCCGTGCAGCACCCAGCTCATGTTGAACACTGCATCGTGGCTGTGTGTCATTCCCAACGCGGGAAAGTCCGCATACTGGCCGGTGATCTCCAAGCGGGTCTCCTTCTTGTCCTTGGTCTTTGAACTGGCCTTGGTCTTGCTCTTCGGCTCGGACTTGACTTTGGTTTCCCCTGTTGAGGCAGCTGGCGCACTCTCCATCGAAGCATCCAAGCGAGTCCCGGCAGCCTGCTTCCGACGCGGCTGCTGTGGTTGGATCTCCTCCGCCTCTTCGCCCCCCCAATCCGGCTCCTCCGGGTAAAGTTCCACCGACGACACGGACTGTGCCTCGATGGGTTCCCGAGTGCGTGCCGCCCTGGTCCGCTGAGCGCGATCCATGATCACAAGAGGCACTGCGGGGCTCGGACGTGGGAGCACAGGCCAAGACAGGCGTTCTGACACGATCTCTTCCTTGAGCCTGAATCCGTCGCACACCCTTGCCAACGGGAACGCCCTTGCGCAACTCAAACATGGACACTTCATCATGCTGAATCTTAGGGCAATGTCCCTGCTGAAGCAACTGTTGCCAAGATGGCCAATGCTCAATGAACTCATCGATCCGTAACAAATAAAGACCTTCAGCTGATGAAGTGAAATGTTGTGATCGCACCCCTAACCTGTGAAGATCAAACCTGCCAGACCCACAGTCCAATTGAAGCCCCAACGCACTGCATACATGTTTGGAAAGAAGTGGAGGACAAGGATACTCAACTGCGTTAATTGCCAACAAGCCTACATGTCCCGACCTCCAAATAGGCGCGAAAGCGTGAAGGCCGACGAACCCCATCACCAAAACGGAAATAATCCAATGTGGGTTTGATGGCAAAATACCGACCTTGTTGCTTGCAACGCTGCACCTCTGTCAAAACCCATTTAATGCCTGCCACCGACCGCAAACAACCCAGATCCACGACCATACGAGCAGTGAACATGTCATCGCTTGCATTGACCAATGTCACAAACTCTCTTGATGTCCCCACACTCCCAGCAGCATCACACACCGCAGCCATGTATGCTCTCGCGGACTGGCGGTGCTGCTCATCCTTCATCATTTGCTCCAGCGCAGCGGACATCGCTGCGTGTTCACTGGAGGTCTCAGGAGAATTAACGGACGCTGCTGGTCCTGGACTGGCCACGGAGGCGCCGCCCGTCATTGCCGCTGTGCCCTTGGCATTGCGTGGGCACTCAGGATCTTTAAGACCAGTGACCATATCCACCGCATGCGCGGCAAAGATTTTCTTGCATCAACTTCTTCAAGCGTTCTTGCTGACCAGGTTGAGCGTGAGGCTCTGGTCGTCGGAAGTAGCCACGGGCCTGTTTCAAGGCTTTGAGCTTGGCCTGAGAGGCAGAGTAGGCCGCCAGGGCGGCATGTGTGGCCGACTCCAACTCTTCAGGTAGCAATTCAGGATCACCGGCTTCTAGCAGGAAGGAGCCCTCAGCTGCCACATGTGCCTTATAGGCCCAGGGTTTCCGCCCCTCGGGCGGAGAGGCGGTAGTGGAGGTCTTGGTAGAGGATGCAGCCTCATGAAGCTCAGGAATCAACAGAGCGTCAATGACGCCCTTGCCAATCGGAACCGTGCCCTGCAAAAATGGTCCCATCCTACGGAGTGCAGGAAACACGCTCTCTGAAGTCATCTTGTTCTGGGCCGCTGCAAGGACCATGACACGATCCTTCAAGGTCAGCTCGGCGTGGTCCAAGATGTAGCCCACAAGGAAACGGTCACCGACCGCAAACTGGGCATCCTCTTCTTCCATGACTGACCGTTGAGCCTGAACCCTCATGATGAAGGACTCATGGACTCCCCCGATTGGCGACGGCAACGGAGAAATTCCCGCTGAGCTTTCTCACCCCGTTGCCCATCTAACTCCTTGACCAGCGGGGACGCTTCCAACGCCTTGAAGACCAAAGCTAAGCCCCCAGGTTTGCTCACTTCTTCAATTTTGAGATGTCTCACAATCACGCTTGCTCTTCCCTTCAAAACTGACAGACACCGGGGGCCCATCACATCCTCGGGCAGTTGCCTGCCTTCCCCAGCGATCCAGCACTGGACCGCACGCTTCCAGTGAGTATAGGACTCATCCCCATTGGCTGAAAAGGAGGGTGGATACGTAGAAGGGATCTTCCGATGTGACTGAGAACTCTTCTGGTTTCCACTACTCCCCAAACCCGACCGACTCGAGTCCGAGGGGCGTCCATCAGCAGCGGAGGTCGCATTGGGCTCATTGTCATTCACCGCCATGTTGTGCAATTCCCAAGGCCCTGGTGGCCATGCGGCTGGATGGTTCTCGATGCTGTCATCACCTGGTGATAAATTAAACCAAGACTCGTCAGAAGCTGAAGTCACCGGAGGCGGAAGATCACCCCCTTGGTCTCGACCTACATCACCGGCATGTTCACCAACATGTAGACCAGGTACATGACGATGGGGGGGAGGACTCAACCATGAGGAACCATCACCCGGAACACGACCGTCTCCAGCCCAACCCCCATGCCCACCAGACCACTCCGTCTCATACCATGAAGTCGGCTGACCCCATCGATGAGACCACCACGGTTGCGGCTCATGCCAACTCCATGAGCCCCATTGCCTTGAAGGCCAAGACCATGCCGTCCATGGCCGCTCTTCCCAAGCCCAGTGTTCGCTGCCGCGTCCCCGCGCTCACGGATCAGCTGAGAGCAACGGATCAAGAGATCCTACCCCACCCTCACCTATCTGGTCCGCTGGCCTTTGTTCAGAAGCCACTGGACCCACAGCACTCTGTGGTTGCCCCACCTTCATGCCACCCTCCTCGACAGTCTCCGCTGTCGCACCCGCACCACTCGGAGGTCGACGCCTCCTAGGCCGCCAGGCCTCCTCGACCGCCGTGGCCAAAACTACAGGAACCGAGCCCGGTCAGGTGCTGGGCTCCGCTACCACTTAAAGTGGTGCAGGGGCCGGCGCTCAAGCGCATTTCTCCTAGGCAAATCCACAGAGTGCAGAGCGGCTACGGAAAACACCAAGTCCATGAAAGTGCAATGAACGTGTGAGTGCCCTTTCAACTGTTTTGAAATGCCCAAAGCATTTGGTTGGGGCTTGAAGATGGGCCTGAAGCTCTGACAGTGGAGGGAACTCACAAAGATTTCCTGTGTCGGTTGAGCAGACTGCTCCTCGTGTCACACACCTCGTGTCATCATGTTCCCTACACACAGACACCCTTTGACTGAATATCTAAAGCAGCCATTAGTTGGTAAGGCACCGGTGCATTTGCAGGGGGATCCTAGTCTCCAAGCAACAAGAAACAAACCTCATTCTTCATCCACAAAGTGACTTAGTCTGGTTGTGCATCGATCCGATCGCCACTATTCCTGCGGCTCCAAACAATGGAGCTCAACCTGTGAACGTGACCGCGCCATTCTGGATGAGGCCCTCCTCCGTCATGGCCTCCGCCGCCGCGGCGGCGGACCAGGCAAAGTGGACCAAGTCTTGATCTGTGGGAGTCTTCAGAAGCCTTCCTTGCAGGGTTCGTAGGGGAAGGTTGGTGTTGGAAGAAGTGATCTTGAGAAGATGTTGATTGGATCTTCGAATGGTTGATTGGCAGGCAAGTCCAAGAGCCGTGTCAGCGGGAGGGAGAGAATCATAGTGACAGGTGATGGAACATTGGTGGTGATCAGTTCCTACTGTATAGCTCTTCCGTGAAGTGAAGATATTTTGGAGTAAATCCTGGACCAGCGGCCACGTTGCGATGGCATTGCCACGTTCAGCGGCATTGCGGCAGATCGCAGGGAGTAAGAACCTATCCACCAGCGGGTCAGGGTCTTGAATCAGATGCACATTTTCCCAGTGCACGTGCTTTGAAGCCATTGCGGCTGTAGAGAGAGAGAGGGCTGAGGAAGATAGGCAGCAAAAATCCAGGCAACTGATGAGTGGATCAGGCCTTTATATAGGTTTTCCAGTGCGGGCCAGGTTGCTGCTGGCGAGACTGGATATTTGAATCACTAAGTCCCGTGTAATTTGGAGCTTGAAGCCTGTTGTCACGAGAAGGGAGTGGTGAAAAGGTTCCACAACTTGGCACAACACCCCAGAATCCGCGGCAGCCGAACACGAATTCTGCTCATGATAACACTTATGACCTGCATGACAACTCTGTGACCTGCCAAGCCTCATGGGGAGTGCGGGGTCCCTTGCCAAAGAAGCGCATGAAGCGACGGAGCCCCGGACAACCGATCCGCCGGTTGCGTTGCCCGGGACGTCGTTTCACCGAGCGGCTCGCCGGGGTAGCGGGGTGGTTCCCCACTTGGGCAGAGACACACAGTTGACACATATTCAGACAGCTCGGAGTGGTGGCCTTGGGGTTTTGATTCAGGGTGATAAGTCGCACTCGAATCGAGCCAAGCAATCACTCGCTGGAAGGACGATGAGCTGTGCACTGTCTTGAGGAGCCTTTCGTCTGATAGTCTTGCACGAGTCAAGAAGGTTGGGGGTCAACAAACCTCAGTCTCAAACGATTTCGCCAAACACCGCACGAGTCTTGAAAATTCAATTCCCATTGTTTGTGGTAGTTTCAAGGCAAGGGCTTGTGGAAAATGATGCAGAAGTTCGCCTTCCTCAAACGTTTTTCAAAGATGCGAACACGTGAGGCACTGCTGAGCCTGCTGTGTATTTTCAGACTTGTGAAGGCACTGACCCTAGCCCGAAGTGCTGATCCTTTGACGCAAACTGGAGTGGTGGCTGCCGGCGAAGACGAAGATGGGGTTGATGAAGCCTTGGCCAAGGATCGGGTGGGGCAAATCAGTTTACTATGTTCAGAAGCTGAGACGTCTCATTTCCAGTGGGTGCTCCTAGTAGCGTCCTTGCTCCTAGTAGTAAGGCCAGGAGCCCCT